CCCTTCTCAGCAAACTAACCACCTTTGACCGGACCGTGGATCTGCCCCGCCACGAAAGCCCAGCAGAACCTATCCGTCGACAGTCCGTCGTTGGAAAACATCCCCACGATCCCCATCGTTCCCGCCGGCTCCGCTTCGTTCGGTTACAGCCTGCCAGAGCTGCCAAACTTGTCTGCCCCCAGCGTGCAATCACTCCTCCTTGAGCCTCGTCAAGCTTGTCCTCCTTCACGTGGTAATCGTAAAACCAGTCGCCGCAACTGTCAACCAGCTCAGCCACTCACCACCACCACCACACCACCACCCGCAACTTGACAGTCCCCGCGCGCGGCTGCCACTTCGCACTACCCACCCCATCAGCCCGCATATGCCGTACCCGGCTTTCTGCGCCGCACCCTCTTAACAGATCCACGCCTGCCAACACATCAAGCGCACATCCAATAGATTGCCCACCGCACCGCCCAACCTGCCTCACCATCCTGACACGCCAGGCTCACCGCGACCCAAGGGAATCTCTCTTTCCCCCCCAAGTGACGACGGAGACCTGCGACACGCACACCCAATAGTATAAAGACATTTCCTCCTAAACAGGGTCCTTCGCCCTCTGCCGTCAATTCATTCGCCATTTGCCCTTCATCGCCCACCCCCCAATCTTCCACTCCAGTCTCGCAACCCCGAAACAACCCCACCTCGACTTCCCATTGGTGCCGCAACCACAATCGCGACCAGCCTACCAGCACTGAACCATTCGGTATCAACATTGCGCCTCCATCGCGTATTCTCCAGACAAGCGCTCTCGAGGGCACGTCCATTATGATGGAGTACGCCCAATACCCACAGCAGCCACAGAACGCGCATCAGCAGGGACACGTTCAGCCAGGGTACCCTAATCCGGCAGCCGGCAACAACATTACCTCGCCGACAAACCACAACATTCACCCTCACGGTGTTCAGACCTCCCCCATACTCTCCACGCAGCAGCAGCAGTCCGCCCAGGGCCAGAACCCCGCCATGTTCCAGACACAATATAACGTCCCGCACTATGCGATGCCTGGCATCCAGGCCGCAGCCATGGCTGCGACCGCCGCGGCGTCGGGACAGTCTAATTATCCCTACATGTCCTCCGACCCAAACATGCCCCAAACCTCGCCGAGGATGGGTGGCCAAAAGAAGGATCTTCGCGGGCCTAGGTCACCCCAGATGAACAACCTCGCCGGCCAACGGCGTCTCAGCCAAGTCACAAGTCCCGGCATGCCTAATCAGGCGCAGAACATGATGGGACACGTCGGACGCCCTGGAGTCGCCGCTCCGCAATTGCCTCCAGCGTCCGCCATGGCGCATCCTCAGTCTCCCGAGCTCGCCGCTGGTGGTGTCGAGGAGTCACCACTCTACGTCAACGCAAAGCAGTTCCACCGCATTCTC